CCGCTCGTAACACTCTACCGCTACCAGCCTGATGCTACAGTTCACTAGCGTAGCATGTGCTGAACCTCTTGGATACGTCACTGAAGAGCAAACCCCCAGTCAGAGGAAGTTTGCCGATAACATTGTGTTAAGGAAACCAAGCTTGGGAACTTTTTTTTTCTGCCCCCCTTGTCATCAAGCCAATACATGAACTGGATCCATTGTTTCAACAGAGCAGCTGCCTACGAATTATGCCACGCATGTCCGACAGTGGTCCAGAGCTCAAAGAAGACCGGATAACATGTCATTACTGCCCACAAATGCACGCCTCAGGGCCCACAGCTTTCGCATGGAGGAAAGAAATGTGAGCATCAGCCACAGGGCACCCTTTCATAGTGTGGAGGGGCGCAGCCCAAAACTTGAAAGGAAGGGCTTTCATCTTGGCCTCAAGCGGGGCATTTGAACTGCGCAGCCTGCCAAAGAGAGGCAATAGACTGCGACAGCATTCAACTACGGCTGCATTGAGCATTCAACTACGGCTGCATTGCGCACCTGTCCTGGAAAGGAAAGGATGCCCCCCAGCTCATGTGCATGTCACATAACCGGGAAACCTTGGGGTTTTAATGCCGCTTGAGAATTCAGTGCCAAGTCCCACACATACGATTTACCCTTATCCAATGTTTAGGGAGAAAATGTCACATACACACTCGGCGAACACAATGCCCCTGGCAACAGCAGCACTGGCAGCAGTGTGGGCCCCATTATCTACACAACTACTGGCCAAAAGACGAGGCTCAGACACACAGCGATGGTAAACAAGCACAGCCAGCACAGGCTAGGGGATCACCCTTTAGAAAGCCTGATGTGGCCAACACGGCACTTGTGCCATGGATCGAGCACTTCCGGCTCAAGCGAAGGGCCTGTTGGGAGGATTACGAAAGCTTTGATCACATCAGGGGTGAAACCTGCCGCTCTGTGCCTGCACGGCGACCTCGATGAGGGCTTCAAGCTGAAACTATAAAGAAGCATCGGCAGGCATGTGCCAAGCTGCTACAGTATAGGCTAGAAGCAAACCTTGATACCAAAATCCAGAGGACAATCGCATGCCAAATCTTCAATACAGGAGGTCCTGTGCACAACGCCATTGCAGTCAGCCTTGTGGTATCTGCCTGGAGATCTGGATGCTCCAAACCAGTGTGAACCCTCAAACCTGCTCCTGAGGCCCTGGGCCAAGCCGCCTAAGCTGCGCGTTTGCAGGTGATCTCGGAGCATGATGAGGAGGCTCTCTACGAGGTTCCCAGATTCAGCGCATTGCAGGATTTGGGGCCTCCGTGCCACCTGTTTTAACGTGACGAAGAGTGGCATGAATATTCTGAGCAGGGTTGAAAAAACCTTGTGTGTGCGAGGTGGCGCAAGGGCATGCGCAAGAACTCATTCTGTAAGAAGGAGACCAGTCTTCTTGTTACTGTCTAGACCATTTCATGGCCGAGGCTGCGACAGTAGAAACGTGCCCGAAGCCCCACATGTGCAAGACAGCGTAGGGGGCCGGGGGCGCAAGAAGCCATAGCGTTGGATCATCCATGAACAAATTCAGAACAAGCTTTATGTGTAGGGGATTGAGCTGTGAGCTCCGTTGCTGTTTCTTTCTGGAATAATGTTGCGAGAGACATCTTGACAATCATGGGCCTTCCGCATGCGTATGTGCATCAGACATGAAGGTTGGCTTCACTTTGCTGAAGTCCTTCATGGGCGGCTCGGCTGTCCTACGAAAGCCTATGTTCTCGGAACCAGTGTGTGCTTGCATCTGCTCGAGGCTTTTGTTTTAGCCATGTTCCAGAGATTTGGTGGCGTCTTGCCTCAACTTGGAGTGTGCTTAGGGTCAAGAGACAAAGAGCGGTTGTTTATCCAAGGAAAACCATCCTTGTGCTGATTCTGGCAAATCTTGGGAACTTGTATTACCTCTCCACCATCTTCCTTAGGCTGTCCCTAGCTGTCCACTGAAGCGAGTTTTGCTTTCCATGTCATGGTCAGGGTGTATTTGGTCGACACAGTTCTAAACACAGAGGACTACGTTCCTGTGTGGTGGTTGGTTGATGCTCAGCAGTGAAACCCATACTTTGGAAGGACCCTGGCACCTCAGACCGCCTGTGGGCTGAGAGCTTAGACTTCAGACAAAGGCAAGCCCAAGCACGTATTCCGCAGTGGAGTATCTGACATCTATTTGAGAGCTTGCTGAGTTCCCCGGCGATCGGGACTCTACCGCCATTGCGCTGGGCCTTGCCTGGATCTTGCCGAATGCCCTGCTCTCAGCCCAGGGCGCATGGAGCTGAGTCCTCAACATCTTAGCTTACGACCGAGTTTCTGCTTCTGGGAGTCGACTACTTTGAGATGGCAGTCTTGGAGATGGGCTTCTTGGCTGAAGGAGTTTTGTCTGTGTGGGATATCACTGAACCCACCCAGGCTTCAACATCCGATATCATCTACGAGTGAACCTTTTCCGAAAGTACCTGCGATACACACCAGAGTCCAGGGCAAAGGTCCCCATCCAGGAAGGGAGCCGGTGCCTGCATTGAATCATTGCAGGCTGCCGCGTCTAAGCCTTCAGATTCCGAAAGCAGTGTCCCGCAGGACCTTAAGATCAGCATCATGGAGGACATTCCTGATCTGGTTTCCGATGGCTGCTTGCCAAACTTGAAGTGCCCAAGCCAGCCAGCCAATTGTCAGGTGTGTCTTCTGTCAGGTTACCTCATCATCTTTGAGCTTTGGGCCATGTTCGGGAAGATTGTCATGGTGGGCATCTTCATGCTGCGGAAGCATCCGCGCAGCACACGCCCCAGCTTTTCCTCCGAAGGCCGAAGGCCGA